TATTATTAGTTTATTGTAATGTTCTATTTAATAAATGATTTGAAATATTTTATTATGTTTATTTGTAGTTGTTGTGCTATGGGGCCTAATCAAATGAGAACCAATTAGTGTGTGTTAATCGTGAGGTCTAATCTCAATCACAAATCAATAGATAAATTATGAAATTTATAATTTTGGTATTTTTGAATTAAAATTTTAATGTAAGAACATTTTAGGTATTTTAAAGCTCTCATATCTTCTCTCTTTTCTCTTCTCTTTCCGTCCTCCGGTGATACCACAGTGTTATCACAATGCATTCTTCAAAAGTTTCAAACATTAACCAGTTGGATTTTAACCTCGCCCAAATAAGTCATCGACAGACCTAACATTCGGACATTAACCAATCCTCAATTTGAAATCCATAATTGAATCAAGTCTGTAACTAGTACTTGAAGGCCCTATTCCTCTAGGTTCGATTCTTGAACCTTTTGTGCATATCTGTAAAGGGCATTAGTCAAACCAAAAGGGCGGTGCCTGATTGGTTTGATCTTGACTTCAAAGGTCAAAAGTGTCTGGAGATCCCTGGTTCAAATCAAAGGAGGAACAAAAATCCCCTTGTGTCCACAGAGATCCAAAATCGGTGACTCCGGTCGTCCTGGGATTAGTCGGCTTGCATAGCAGGTTGGATATTCTGGTTAATAAAAAAAGGGCATTAGTCATTTTTTTTTCATTACCACTTGCCAACGCTCCTCAACCAGCTTGCCAACACATCCACACGATTCCCGTTTACCATTTGTGCCAAGTGCACGATACGTTCGATATTTTATAAACAAATAACGCCTCATACTCGACCTATCATACAAAACCTAAGTGTAATTTAGACAATTATTTAGTGATTAAATATCTTAATTTAAACTATGTGTTTAAATCAACATCAAGGTGTATATGTTACTATAAATTAATTTTATTTATTGAAAATAATTGTGAAATTTAATTAATATTAATTATTAAAATAAATACATACTTTTTTTACCAACATTTAGGGGCTGTTTGTTTTTCAAAAAAAATCACTTTATACCTCTTATGTCTGAATCGGTCAGACCTTGAGGTATTAAGTGCGTTTGTTTTTTCTTTCAATTAAGAGCTGAATTTGTCTCATTTTGTCTGAATCGGTTAGATGTAAATTAAACTCTGAAAACCTCTTATTTTGATTTCCCCTACCTCGTCGCTCTTACCTCTCCATCGCCGCCCCGGTGCACTCTCAAGCCCTCGATTTCTCTTGCTCTTGATCGATCTCTCTCACGCAATCAATCTCACAGACCTAAGAGGGCCAAAGTCTTGGATCTGCACAAGCACAACCAGAGGAGAAGCTGCCGCCATTAGAGGTATACTCCATTGTAGTTTTCGTTTTCTTCACGCTCCATGAATCAAATCRATCTGTTACTACATCCACCGTTTTTAATCTCTGCTTTGCGACCAAAAGGAAGTTCATATAAACCCTAAAATTGGATGATTTTAAGATGACGATCGACTCCTCTTTTCAGAGAATCTCAATGCTCGATTAATACTTGTGCAGTTTACGTTTATCACAAGTATCGATTTCAAACGGAAATCGACGATTTGAAGTAGTTTTGATTTGGAAAATTGTGGAATTTGTGTGCGATCAATATCGATTTGCTGTTGTTTATGGTTCATAGCAATCGGTCTCTCACGCAATTGGTTAGGAGGTCATTGGCTTAAATACTACATAGTGGGTGGTAAGACTGAAGGATCTTTTGGAGTTGAGGGCTAATGATCACTGTGTGTTACCTCTTCTTGTTGTCTTGAGATATTAAGCTCTGTACAAAATATAAAGAAGCTACATCAGATCAATTATGTCTCTGTATTAGTAATGAGGTAAACTCTCAATCATGTGATGTGCATTATGAGGCAACAAAGTAAATGCTGGTTACTTGTGTATGTTGAGCTTAATGGGTTATGCTTTGTCCTTTTATCTTCTGGAAYTGCTGAGGAGTGTCTCTAATTCTAATCAACATGGTAATTAGCAAGCCAGCTGCATTTGGTGCCATTTTTTTGTGTAAAAGCAAATTGCCAGGTTGTTTCTCTTCACTTTTGTCATTTTGATTGAAATGGTAGKTGTTGGAGTTGACATAACCATCTTGGTGATGATTATTTCYTTTGTTGCCTCACCATCCCACTTTATAGATGATCATTTCTTCATCTTTTGGCTAATTGTAAGATTTGGCTAAATGTGGGTCTTTTTGTTTTCTACATCTATGATTGTTTCTTGTGATAGTGCCTTGTGGTAGTCAATTCTACTAGTATAGCTTGAGGATCATAAAGAACTCTTGTTTTGTAGTCTATAAATAGTTTCTATATAAATTTCATGTTGTCAGTTTGTTTTGTCTTTTTAATTGACAAGTCTTCAAGACCGTTAAATTCATCTTTTTATAACAAACAAGTATGACCAAACACCTCTACAATGTTGATTTAAAAGTTCTATCTTTTTTGATTGATTTTAGTCATGGATGAGAATGTGCGTGTGAAGTGGACAAACGAACTTACCAAACGGTTTCTAGAGACTTGTATAGAAGAGGTCAATAARGTGGGTCGAAATGGAGGTAGTCTTCGCAAGGAGACTTGGGTGCAAGTGGCAACCAAACTTGAAGAAGTTTGCCATGTAAAACTCACCCAGAAACAACTGAAAAACCAATATGATTATTTGAAGGGAAAGTATTCGGGATGGGTGTACCTAMRRAATAAAACAGGGAATCTTTATGACCCTGAAATGAATACGTTCACCCTAACTAATCAAGAATGGGAAGATTTTTTCTAGGTTAGTTTTTATTTTTTTTACCTTTTTAGATATTATAGACAAAAACACGAGCAACATTTAAATAATAATACTTAATTTGGATGCAGGGACATCCAAAGGCCCGAACATTGAAGACAGCACCATTGATATACCCTGATTTATGCATAGCTTTGTTCGAGGGGACTTCTGCTACTGGATCTCGTGTGTAT